TTTTTCTTAAATTGATTTTATTCAATGATCAGTTTTTTTTTGCGATTCAGTTCGTTAACATTGACAATGTGATCCAGAATTTATCCAAGAATTTAAATATAAAATGATTAAAAATTTTTTGTTTAATCTCAAATATTCATAAAAAAACAAATAAATAAAATATTTATATTTAATATTGTTATAAAAATTACAAGTATTTATAAATTTAGCCAAATTAAAAAAATGCAACATATATTCCTTTAACTTCTTTGGTAATAGTTGATTAATTCCTGGAAACTAAGTCTACTAGCATCCAAAATTAACCCATGGATCCGAATACATGATTATGCCTACAAATACTTGGCCCATGTTCTTCGTATTCTGCTTTTGTGTGGCAATATTCATAGAATTTGGGCTATGACCATAAAAAAGATAAATTTAAGTGTTTGATTTCTTTGTTTAAAAAAAAGAGTTAAAATAAATGAAGAACATACTGTTGATCCCAATAAAGAACCACCAAACCAGACCGCATAACGTTGTTTCTTGTGCGATATGACATTAACTTCTATTGGTGTGGCCTTCAATGTACCACCACTTAATGTTTCACTTCTCTTAACACGAACATCAACCGTACGCTTTATATCTCTTTGAAGACGTTTACTAAAATCTTTAAACATGGTTGATCCACCTGAAAGTACAATATTCTATAACAATAAAAAAAAATTTTATTTAGGACTGAACTTTCAGTATAAGGAGAAGCAGTTTGAGATATCAACCTTGTATAAACCACGTCTAACATCAATGGGACAGCTTTGAATAACATTATCAACAACTTCGGGAAGAGGTGTCAAGAAATCAGATGATGCTATTTCTGGATTGAAAAAGATTTCAGGACCCAGGAAACGCTCAAAACCAACATCAATTTCATAAGGCTATAGAAATTAAAATTGGAATAAGAGTATTTGGGATAAATCGAATATTAAGCTAAAAGATCGCAACAAACCTGGCCAGTCACACTATGCACTCCTTGATATTTTTCGAAATTTTTATCTGGTTCCTGATCGTACTTTTTGAATTCTTTAACAATATCTTGACATACATATGAGTATTGTTCCTTTATACGCTCAGCTACTTTCAAAGAATCTTCTGGAGGGATTGAAGTTTCATTTCGTTCACGATGAAGTTGTTGAACAAAAGATGTAATATCACGTCCAGCAATTGGGATATGTTTAATAGATGATCCGACAACATACCCTTCGGCCTTAATATTGATATTAAAAATGTTTAATACATGCTTAAAACGTCAAATGACGAAAAAAAGAAAAGAATAGTATAGTAACTTACCACAGGGATTACGTGTGTAACGCCATCACCACTATCAACAACTGTTCCGGTTAAAACTTGACCGGAAACCTTGTTTGAAGTCCAACTGGCGGCCAAAGCTAATACAGCTTGTACAGCAATATATAGTCCTTGAATATTGAACGATTCAAACATGATCTCGGCAGTCTGTTCACGGTTTTCTGGCGCATTAAGTGGAGGTTCTGTCTATATGATTTAAATACAAAATATTAATAAATCGATATTGATCCAATTTCACAATGATTAACTTACCAAGAGAAAATAATGATCTTCCGGTTCACACCTTAAATATTTGAAAATACTCTGTTCCCAAAATCGTTCCATTTGATCCCAATTATCAATTTGACCGTGTCGAATAGGATAATGTAAACCATACGTTTTAGAATTTGCAAGTGCTTCATTTCCAATAAAAAAGTCTAAATCCTCGATACCACGTTTCGAGGCTATATTCCCCGAAAGATGAGAAGGCTTTGACGGAATAGAGGAACCAGTATTACCAGTCCCTGCAGAATCGCGTGTTGCAATGACAGTAGGAAAGACAAAGGATGGTATGTTGTTACCCGCAAAACCTAACTTTGTATATCTTATTTATAAATATACAAAGACAAAGGTCAGTTAGGCAATATAAATAATCAACATTTATTTAGCACTAACCCAGTCCCATTGTCCATAATCACTGGCGGAAGTCTCGACATGTTTGCTTTGACCTTTATTTAAGATGGCTTTTATTGATATATGTATATAGTGATCTAACTTGGCAAAAAATCTTAGCTAGAAATCCGAACGTTAAATCAGATCAAAAGTGAAATCGTTGGACAACGTTTCACTTCCCATGTGACAGATATAGTCGTGTAGTACAACTGTGCTTATTGCCGCAGATTATCTATAGAGGGAATTTATTTAGCAAAAAGATTTGATCAAACAAGCTAAAATTTCGTCATTTTAATAAATAATGCAAGAAAACGAAGCCAATAATGAATTTTATGACACCACACTTAACTATTTTCGAGTGAAGTTACCAACTGAGCTTTCGCAACCTAAAATAGCTATAATATGTGGTTCTGGACTTGGAGGTTTGGTTGATACTATTGATGAAACCAATTGCAATAAGGTTGAGTTCGAATATAAAGATATACCGGGTTTCGTTACAAGTACAGGTTAGAAGCACCAATAAAAATAAAGAACGTGAATTATTTGATACACGGAATAAAACTTTTAATTTTATCAACTTTTCCCAACAGTTCAAGGTCATGCGGGTAAACTAGTTTTTGGTTTACTTGGAGAGAATCAAACTCCAATCGTTTGCATGGTTGGAAGGTTTCATTTCTATGAGGGACACTCTCTTAAACAAGTCACATTGCCCGTTCGGATTTTCAAACTTTTAGGTGTTAAAGTTTTAATTGGTAAGATAAAGATCGTGAATCATGAGTGCGAAAAAAAGTTATTTTGATAATATTTTCTTACATTCCTTATTAATGAAATTATTATTGGTATTTTTCTCTTGAAACAGTAACAAATGCGTCTGGTGCGCTCAATAAAGACTTTCGGGTTGGGAATGTGGCAGTGCTTACTGACCACGTATCTCTTCCTGGTCTAGCGGGTAATAATCCATTATTTGGGCCAAATCATGACGAGTTTGGACCGCGTTTTCTGCCCATGACAGAGCCTTATGATTTTGACCTTCGTGTTTTAGCTTTTAAAGCAGCATCCTCTCTTAATTTTGACAAGGGGGTTTTGAAGGAAGCTATATACTGTTTTGTTGGTGGACCTTCATACGAGACCAAAGCCGAAGCTCGATTCCTGAGTACGATCGGTGATATTGTTGGAATGTCCACTGTACCCGAAGTAATCGTAGCGAGGCATAGTGGGATGCGTGTATTGGGACTTAGTCTTGTGACCAATATGGTTGTACTCGGAAAAGGTAGAAGCGCAGATCCTTCAGGTGATTCTGGTATTATTGAAGAACAACCACCAAATCATGAGGAAGTGTTAGAAGTTAGTCGTTCCAGAGCTGACGATATGCAAAAACTGGTCAAAGCTATTATCGAATTAATTTAATAAACTACTTTATTCTTAATAAAAATAGTCAATAAATGAAAAACGGGACATCATTTACACGGTTTACTTAAGTAAATAATAGTACCATAATAGTAATTTTCGGTGATTCATATATATATATATTTCTTTTTTGTTTTTTATTTCTTTTTTAATCACATAAAAGGAAAAATAATTTAATGCTATCTTATTAATTCTTTTTTAATTTCGTACAATGAACCATCTCTATCACGAAGAATAGTATTTTGTTCTTTTCCTTTAGCTTTAAATTTAAATCTAAATCTTTGATTTGTTTCGTTTTTATCACGACCAACTAAAGTCATAATTTGTTTGTCCTTTTCTGAATTGTCCTTCAAACTAAAAGGATTGAGTAATTCTTCCTTACTTTCTTTTTCCTGTATTTTAGATAAAGCTGGACGACGTAATATTTTAGCCGCATCCTAGATCATAAATAATATTATAGTTAAATAATTTTAATAAAAAAATATTATATATAACAAAGCATTTCATAAATTCTATTTACCTTTGGCGAAAAATTTTGGTTTTCATCAATTATTTCAAAATTTGGTTTTCCAACATTAGGTAATGTATCCGTTAATGGTTCAGCACGAAATGAACGTGCACCTAACATTTTTTCAATACGTTCTCTTAAATCTACTTGTAAAGTAATTCCCTTTTTTTTATAAAAAAAATTACATAGAAATTAATTATCAATTAATAATAAATACTAAGTTCACTTATATTCTATTATCTTCTCAGTAATTATTTGGCATTTTTAAACCATATTTAATGTCTTCAAGACTAATCGTTTTTTTTTCTTTGACATCATCGCAAATATGAAAAAAAGATTGATTTATAAAAAAATATAAACATACTTTTTTAACCATATCCTTTTCCATTTTCTTTAACTTAAGAATTGCTTCGACCCTTTTTAAAGAGATTCCATAATCAGTACCAATTTTACGAGGAGTTTGTTCTGCTTCTGTAAATTTCACCCATATTTCTTCTTTAGCATGATCATTTAATGGAGGTTGAGGTTTAAAGAAAGGATTCATAGGGAAAGGCTACTAAAACATTAGATAAATCATGTAAGTAAACTATTTAAATTATTTTCAATAAAAGATAAATTATTCATTGGAAACTCAACTATGTTTGCATCAAGATAATTTGGTCTGTCATAAAAATTAGCAAATTTATTTCCTTCGTTAAGTAACCATAGCTTATATTTAGGACGACGAGCTCTACCGGGATTTAGTGTAAAACCTCCTGGAGCTTCTTCACTTGAAGCTTTTGACTGAGCAGTATCGACAGCTTCTTCTTTAGGTAGAGGCGTTGTTTCATTCTTATCAAATAGTATAGGTGTAGAGTAATAAGTTCTTTTATAACTATAAAAAGAAGGATAAGGTATCGTATATGCAAAAGTAGAAGTTGATACTTGTTTTATTAAAGTATTTGATATTATGCGCATTTCTAATTTTTTTTTTTTTTTTTTTTTTTAAAAAAAAAATCTTTTTTTTTTTTATACGATAAACTAAGCCACTTAGATTTAAATATCAAAATATACATTATAATTTTATAAAATGAAGTCGTTTATCAAATAAAAACCGGCAATAGCTCAGTTGGTAGAGCGGGAGACTGTAGTACGACTGTTATCTCTAGGTCGCTAGTTCGAATCTGGCTTGCCGGACAAATTTTTCTTTTTTTATAAGAACAAACCGCAGTAATTTTGAAAATCTATATTTTATCTCGATTATTATTAAACTTCACTTATAAGTAAAAATAAAATTATTAAAATTATAGTAAATGTCTAAGTAAAAATAGAGATTTTGGGGGTTCAGCTTAGATTATCCTACGTTCGCAAATTTTTTCATATCATATGGCACCAAATAATAAACTACATATAGCAATACCGATACGAATTACTATATTTGTGCATTAATTGGTATTACTATATTAAAGCTTAAATATCATAATTGTGAAATGAAAGAATTACTTGATAGAATAAACGTTATAAATTGAATTCATATTATTAACTCAACATTATTTTCATTCATGGATTGAAAAAATATAAATTGGAGAAAGAACTGATGAAATTATTATGAGAAACATTTCTTATTTACGATACTAAAAAAAACATAAATTTGTAATGTTAAAAAAGCGATTTGTATTTCTTTCTTTTCTCACGCCACACTCAAATCAGGAAGTTTATTTATTATAGTCAACGCTCTTTTTAATGGAATTTAACTCGAAGTATAAAATAGAGCAGTCTATAAATTATAATTAAATTTTAAAAAGGGATATACTTTTGGTTAAAGATTACATTCCTCTGCAAAATCGTCTGAATTGAGTTTAAAAATCCGAGTCTACGCCGTTGAGCCGTTCTTCATTTCTAGTAATTTCGATCTACTCACTTCTAATTGCACCCGATGATATTTCACCAGTAAATTTTCACCCATTATAGACTATATCACGTGAAATAAACAAAAAATTTGATAAAATACTCATCTTGATGATAATTTAATTTTGTCTGTCATATCAATCAATGCTTGCAAAATCTCCGAAATCTGTTATATTTTAACTTTCACAACCAAAAGATATGCTTTTTAGATGTAATGTTACAATACATGCAAATATTTGATCCTCTATAAATTGTGAATTTTAACGTAATTAAAACGTAAAATTTATTTATTTGATATATAATAAAACTTTATTTGATAATTAATACCCATAAAGAATACAAAACAATAAATAAAATAGTAAATACAAGTCTCAAATTGACGTTACCAATAAAATCTTGATGATATGAAAAGAAATAAGCTATTGTTCAGACGGTTTTAAGCTAAATGAGAAAAATTGATGTTTTTAAGAAATAAAATTATATGTCAGTGATTATATAGTATAAGAAGGATTTCATAAAAACAAATTAATAAATTATAATTACCATAGTATCATTATTAGAATTTTTGGGTTCTGGAAGATTTTTAAAATCTAAAGGTCTGCTCGTATACATTGCTTGAGGATGTATATTATATGAAAGAATACCAATAGATGATAATGATGTTGTTGTTAAAGATGTTAACGGTTTATTGGCTTCATTTGTTTCAATAATTTGCTTATAAATTAATGAATGGTTGTTATATTTGGCATCATCATATAATTTCATTAATAATTCTTTTAGTACATTCGCTTTAGGTCGTTTTGAAGGGTCTGCATCCAAACATTGTTTAATTATATTTAAAATCAGGAGAGGGATCTTATATTTGGATNTTGGTCTCAATCCTTGACAAATTTTAATAGCTAAGGATTCTTCATGAGCCACATCATGATAAGGAGGTAACCCTGTGCAGATTTCATATGCAATAATTCCAAATCCATAAATGTCACTTGCTTGAGTATACTCTTTGTTTCTTAAAACTTCGGGAGCTACATAAGGTAACACACCATGTACTTTTCTATCATTTTGAGAAGATTTTACATTTGCCGGTTGACATAATCCTAAATCTGTGATCGCAACTCCACCGCTTAATATATTTCCACAATGAAAATTACGATGAATTAATTTACTATTATGAATATCACAGAGGCCATATGCAATATTATACAGAATATTAATTTTCTCCTTCCAATTCAACGAAGTAAAATTCTTGTCTAAATGTTGTCTTAAACTACCATTCTTTGCATATTCCATTACCATCATNAAATCATTTGATTCTGGATCTTTAGTAATACCATAGCAATGAATTACGTGATATGAATTATTCATANTATGTGATTTAATCTAAAAATTTTATAATAATGAACGATAATTAACTTTAAATTTATAAAATAATAAATTTTTTTTTTAAAAAAAAATTATATCTTACTTCATTTAAAAATTCAACTGAACATCTTGTGAATTCTTTAAAGATTTTAAAGCAACTAGAAACCACCCATCATACTCATATTTATATCTTTTCCATTGATTATTTTCAGTATTCCAACCACATATATATCCACTTTTCCAAATTGCTCTATAAGTAGTTCCAAAACCTCCCTTGGTAAATATTCAACATTTTCAAATTTATCATAATCAATCCATTCTAAAATTTCATAATGATTTTTAGCATTTAATTGCATCTTTTGAATGAATTCATCAACATTTTTATTTCCACTCGTCCAATTATTGAAATTTTGTTGAAAATGTTTAACGTTACATGGTTGACAGTAGTAATTCCTCATTAAAAAACTATCAGTATTTGGCTGCTTACATTCTTTACACAAACCATGCTCTTTATAACGTTCTTTTAAATTTTTATCTGTTATTAGTTTATTAATTAACGATTCTTGTTCTTCAGTTAAACTCCAATGGTTAAAACCTCTTATTTGCCCAAATACTTCATCACTGAGTTTAACTTCTCCCATGTTGAATAAATTTTTGTTTTGACAAGAAATATGTTATCAGTTTATAACATTTTATTCAAAAGAAAAGGAAAACGTTCTTTTAAAATATAATTCTAAGGTAAACGTTACACACCACACGAAAAACCATGAATGGTTTTAAAAAGGGTTTCATTATTTCTAAATTTTCAAAGGCGCAAAATTTTACCAGATTGTCTATTATATACAGTATAATACAATAAGTTAATGCAGTGACGAAAGACACCATGCTAAGCAGAGTTTAAGAGTTAGGCCTGCATAACATACAATACATAGATTTTTCAACAGATAATTAGACTGTTATAGAGCCATTCATTCCTTATTAAATATGTCGTACAAACATTTCTAGCGAAATGATACGAGTTACAAGAAAATTCATTGTTGCTAAATTGTGAAATAAGCTTCAAATGGTGAAATTATCACGCCAATATTCCAACTATTCTATGGCTGCATGTCTCACGCTTTTTTTTCAACAAAAATGTTGCATAAACCAAACTCATTTAATATAGAGCTTCAACTTTTATTCATTCTGTAAATTTCATAAAATCGCAATTGAAAAAGCCTCTACATAAACGTGAATTTAAAGTTAATGACAAATTCCAAATATTCAAATAAGTGGTTGAAAGATATACCAAGTTTTATAGTCTTATAGTCGTAATACTAAGAATATTTTAGAAGGTTTGTATGTTTTGTCCTTTTATTTTGTTTGTACTACACACACTACTATTAAAAAGGAAATTAAAAAAGCCCATGATGTAAGTGTCAGGATTGAAAAAATGATAAGAGATTATCTGTATTGTAATTTATATATACAGTATATTAAAAAATATTCATGTGAAATTCGATATAAAAAATTGTTAATAAAAATAATGATCGTATCAAATGAATATTAAATCTTTTTTTTTTTATTTAGAGACGTAGATCGTAGAATGCGTTACAAAGATAACTAGAATTAAAATAAAAATTAATCTATCTATGAGACTAGGAAATAATTTGTGACTGAGCCCCCTGCAGGAAAAACCTGAAGTGAACTGCCTACGCCTAAAGGGAAAAAATTAGGTAAAGCCAATTCCACTATTCTAAATTAAAATAAAAACGATCTGTCATTATTATAAAGTGAATTATAAGTATTATTATAGACTAAATTAAGGGATGATAAAAACGAAGAAAAATTTATTCGTGGCGAATAATCGCTGGCGGGAAGGAACGTGACTTGTGTTCCTAGTAGTAGAAATACGATCATTTTGATTTTTATTGTTGGAACCTTTGGGGCGTTTGTGTCGTTTTAGGCGATTATTAATGTTGAGAGATTTTTCCCATTTGCTACGTGCGTCGCAATGTGAGAGCCAAGTGATTCTTCGGAGATCCGTAATGAAAAAGTGCAGAAAATCCAAGATATGAAGATGTCTTTGTTTCTTTTTGGGGAAAATTGTGATTAAGACGTCATTGATAGCTTTAGGAATAAGTTGGTGTGATAACAGAATTAAGTGTAAATTATTTGCGGGTGATGCAATATGATTGTCATTGAATAAAGGGATATTATATATCAAATTTTTAATGTCGTCAAACGATAATTTGGAGGGTTGTTTTTCGAACAAAAATTGAACGAAGGATGAACGATGTGATTTAAGAAGTGAAGTAATTTGGTCCGCCGTATATTTAGGACATAATAAAATATGGTGATTGGAATCTAATTCCGAGTTACAAGACGGACATGGAATGTGTTGTTGGGGATATAATCTTTGTAGTATTATTTCTTCTTATTTCTTTTGCCTTCTACAATGATCTCTTAAAGATACGAGGAGGAATTCTAATCTAAATCAAACCAGTCAGTTAGGAGAGACTCAACTAACTGATCAGTTTTTCTTTGCCTGTAATGGGAAAAGGAACTCATATACAGTATAAGGAAGGTAAAGAGAAATTCTACTGTAGGAAAAATAAATTATAGAGAAATAAAGTTATTTAATAAAAAAAATGACTTAATTTAGTTTTATTTTTCATATGAAAAATTATTGATAAATTACATATCTTAGTCCAATAATATTGATTACGCATCAGTCATATTTATTGTGTCGCACAAAATATTAAGTGTTTTATATTAAAAATGAATAATATTTGCACTCAATGATATTTAATTAAGATGACATACAAAACACTGTAGAAATAACACATTACCTTTTTTTTCATAGTCAATTTTATTGTGATTATTAATAAACGTACCACAAAACTAGCAGCAAATGCACAGTATGTCTCAATTTATTTTTGGAAATT